GTTTCAGTCATTTCCTGTCATCATGGAGGAAACTTCTTCCCAGAGCAATTAAAGGACTTAACGCCTATTCTAAGAAACCATACTGCTCTGGATAATAGAACAGTTTAGAAGATGGAACAAAAATTTCAGGAGAGACCAGAACAAAAGAGACCTCTTGATTAGAAGAGGTGAGTTCATTAACCAGTGTCACCAATCTAAACTAATTTATAAGACTAATAAATGCTTTTCATTTGATTAGATATAATTTGCTAAAAAGGAAACTCCTCAAAGTTAGAGTTGGGGAGGGTTTTGTTTTTGTCTTTTAAGAAAAATGAAAACAACCATCTTGAGGAATTTTAAGACTTTTAGACAAGTAAACATCCAAAGAAGAAGGGAGAACTACCTGGAAAAATTACCAAGGAAAGGAATAATCTGACCTAATAATCTCTGAAGACTCAAAAAGATGGCGAGATTGCATAATGATGATTCCACTGGGACTTTGGTAACACCACTTGGCTGAAAAACACCATCTAAAGACCGACTTTGGACTAAAAACTGCTTAGGACTTTTTGAAGGTGATTAGCTATGATGATCCAGCCTCACACACTGCTCAAGCCAGGATTTCAGACAAGCCCTGCACTTTCCCATTATTCAGAGACTATCTCTCCCAGGACTTGACAGTTAACCCTAAAGATGCCGTCACCAGACAGCAGGAAGTAAATTTAAGAACACAACCCTGACATTCCCAAGTGGGGTGGGTGGTTTGTGGTCATTCCATGGTTATGGATAATTGTCATCCTTTAGAGTGGTTGGTTATAAGTTGTTATTGGTAATGGTCAGATTAAAAGGAGATTTTAGAGTTCTTTTTTTTGAAAATAAAATGCAGGTGGATCTCTGTGAGTTCAAGGCCAGCCTGGTCTACAAGAGCTAGTTCCAGGATAGGTTCCATAGCTTCAGAGAAACCCTGCCTTGAAAAACAAACAAATAAACAAACAAAAATAACGTAAGTTTTTTTTTTTAAATGAATATGAGACATGTCTGTTTCTGGCAGCAGCATCAAAGAAGATGATGGGCATCGAAGAAATTCCACATGGAATTTACTTTCTTTGTGGCAGAAGTAAGCTACTGGGGCTGGAGAGATGGCTCAGTGGTTAAGAACTTTGCCTGCTCTTCCAGAGGTCCTGAGTTCAATTCCCAGCAACCACATGGTGGCTCACAACCATCTGTAATGAGATTTGGTGCCCTCTTCTGGCTTGCAGGGATACATACAGGCAGAACACTGAATACATAATAAATAAATCAAAAAAAAAAAAAAGAAAGAAGAAGCTACTGGGCAAGAAAGTGCTCTTGCCTTGATTGCTGACAGTATGCTGTCCAACTTGGACAAGCAGGATGCAAGAGAAAGTGACTGCCAAACATTGTCAAGACAAAGAGAAACAGCCATTCAGAATATCCTGCTTCACAGAAAAGTCTGTCAGATATGCTAAACCTGTAGGCTAAAGATAGATGCCCCAACATTGCAGAGGAACTTGGGGTAACTGTTCAGACAGACAGCTGTTTCTGTCATTTCTCACATTTTTTTTTTGGAAGTCACTTGCTTGCACTTCCTGCTTAGTTAATATTTTTTCCTTCTCAGGTCTCTGATGGAGTTGAAGACTATATAGTTATAGTTTTCTTGTTACCAGATTTAGAAAAGAAATTCACTAAAGAGGTGTAAAGTGTATAGGATTGAGAGACATTGAAAGATAGTTTTGGTAATACAAATTAGAATAGAAAGTGAATTAGGGGCTGGGAAGTGGGTGGCACATGCCTTTAATTCCAGCTTTTGGGAGGCAGATCTCAGTGAGTTCAAGGCCAGCCTGGTCTACAGAGTGAGTTACAGGACAGCCAGGACTATACAGAGAAACCCTGTCTTGAAAAACAAAACAAAACAAAACAAAAAACAAAGTGAATTAGGTACAACCTTTTGGACTCACCAAAATAGGGTAGATATTAGAGTATTTTCTCTGAATTTGTCACATGTTTATGGACTTGACATTGTTGAAGTTTTATTGCTTGTATATATTACACATAGTTATTGTACTTATCGTATATAGTTTTTCTTATATTAGTTATAACCTTTTTTATTTTAGACAAAAAGAGGGAAATGTAGTGATATTTTATTTGTGCTCTAACAAATAAAGCTTGCCTGAAGATCAGTGGATGGAGCTAGCCACTAGTTAACCATAGAGGCCAGGCAGTGGCACACACCTTTATTCCCAGCACTAGGAAGGTGGAGACAGGATCTTATCCCTTCAATCTGAAGATTCAGTAGAGGTAAGAAGTCTCTGTTGGGTCTGGCTTCTTCTCTGATCTTTTAACATTTACCCCAGTATTTGACTCCAGATTTTTATTATTAAGACCAACTAGAATTTGCTCTACATCTGCCTGTGTATATAATATGCAACATGCTGTGGCTACAATCAGCCACAAAACTATTGGGAAATGAGTCAAATATAACCAAAGAATTATCTGTTTGTATTCCAAGCCCTGAAATAGTTAGAAAACCTGCCAAATGGGATAAGGAGGGGGACATTTCTTTAAAAATGTGTGATGAGGACAATCACTATCCTGGATTTGCAATCTGAACCATATCAAGTCTACCAAGACATAGATTCCAGCTGAGAATTTAAACAGCATGGCGCTGTCTATCCCTAGGCAGCAGAACAAGTACAAGTCATATTTATAAAACTCCAATTCTCTCTAAGACTTCAAAGGATTGCTTCATAGAGGTTAATGAAAATGGAAAACCAGGCATTTGCAGGTCCTTTCCTCTGCTCATTAACCCACAGCCTTGTGGACTGTCTCTTAACGAGTTGTCTGTCTAGTCCATGCCTGATTTAGCAGGCACGGAAATTTCTTGCATCCCTCACCTGGATTTTACCTAATCTGTTATGATTTTCTTCTTAAACACTAGTAAAATTCTCCTTGAGCATGCTTTTGATGAAATCAAAAACCAGTGCTGGAGAGATGGCTCAATGTTTAAGATCACTGGCTGTCCTTCCAGAGGACCTGGATTTGGTTCCCAGTGTCTACATGGTGGCCCACAACGGTAACTATAATTCTCTTCTGGCCTACTTAGGTAGTGCATACACATGGTATAGATCTATACATGCAAACAAAAATCCATACACATAAAAATAAAATCTTTGGAATCAACAGAGTTTAATGAAATGACCAGGTATTATATATATATAATATATATAATTATATATAGAATATATAGTGTATATATATATATATATATATACTACTAGCAAAATTAAGAGCAAAATATATAGTACTAGCAAAAATTAAGAGAATTCAAGGGAGCTGGGAATGTATCTCAGTGAGAGGGCATATCCTTAGCATGAGTCAGGCCTGGCCTAGCTCCCTAGCACTACAAAAAATAAATGTAAACAAAAGTGAATTCAATGACACACATGGATTGATAGCGAAATGTTGGAAAATAAGCATCAGAGAGGAAGTGAAGAAATCAGAGTCCTGCTGCATTGCTGCTGGGACTAGAAAATGGGGAGGTTGTTCGGAATACAGTTTGGGAGTTCCTCAAAAAGTGATCCAACTTCAAGATGTATCCTAAAAATGAATGTGTATGTCCACACAAGAACCTGTTGGTAACATTTATAGTGATTTCAGAATAGCAGGAAGATGGGAGATAGCACAGAGGCTCACCAACTCATGACTGAGTAAACCAAACACAGGACAGTCATTGATTTTATTTTGGTTTTGAGATAGAGTCTCACAATATAGTCTGTAAATCAGACTGGCCTTGAACTCAGATCTGTCTGCCTCTGCCTCCCAAATGCTGGGATTAAAGTATTTTATTTACTTTTTTTTTTTAAAGAGAATGTACCACCGTGCCCAGCTTTTTGTTATTTTTATTTTGTTTGGAGACAGGGTCTCTCTACATAGCCCTAGTGTTCTGGAACCTACCACGCAGACCAGGTTGGCTTGGAACTTACAGAGGTCTGCTCACCTCTGTCTTCTAAGTACCAGGATTAAAGTATGTACCACTGTGCCCAGCATTTATTTGTTTTATTATTTTTAATTATATATATGTGGGGGTGTGTGTGTGTGTGCATGTGTTAGCAGTGCCCCAGGAGAACAAAAGAAAGTCTCAAATCCCCTGGGACTGGCATTACAGGAGATTGGGAGCCATCTAATATGGGTGTGGGAATCAAACTTGGGTCCTCTGCAACAGCAGTAAGTGCTCTTAGCCCTGAGCCATCTCTCCAAACTTCTTATTTTTTAGTAATTTCAAGTAATGTAAAGTTATTAAACTACACAAAGGGATAGCATCCTGGCACATAAATCAACATTATTCTAAATGAAATAAGCCAGACAAAAAATGCAGTATAGTCTACAGCTCCATTTATATAGTGAAAGGTTTCGAATGGACAAGGCAGACGAGTGATTATGAGCGCCCGGGGCATTAGGGAAAACAGACTTTGATTCAATAATACAAAGATAACATTTAATGTGGCCATTCAATCCGTTCCTTTACTAAGGAAACCAGCGAGGCCTCATTAAACACTCGTACTTCAATTTTTCACATGTCTTGTTTTTTAAGACAAAATCTCACGTAGCCCAGGCAGGCCTAAAACTCACTAGCTGAGGATGGCCTTGAACTTATGACCCTGCTTCTCCCTCCTTTGTGCTGGAACCACAGGCTTGTAACACCACTACTCATGGCTCATGCAGTGCTGGGAACCAAATCCAGGGCTCTATTTGGGCTTGGCAAGCTCTCCACAAGGTGAGCTACACACCACTGGCTGCTGTTCATATTTATTTTTTGAGTCTGAGTCTCACTCTGTGGCCCAGGCTACCCTTGACCCAGTAGCAATCTTCCTGCCTCAGTCTCCAGAGTGCAAAAATTACACGTGTGAGTCACCACCCTTGGACTACACGTGGACATTTGAATCACTGTAAAATGCCTGCAGTTATTAAGACATAAAGAGTTTTGCTCATTCTTCTGCTGGCAGGCAATGGTACAAACATCCTACAAGAAGCAAAAGTGCACTTCATTTCTCGAGAGATCTGTAATTCTGAGAGAAGCTATGGAGGAGTGATCCCTAGCACCTCCTTCTGTGCAGGTCACGAGAATGGGACCTTTGACACTTGCAGGGTAAGACCAGATACCCTCTGAGGGCTCTTCTAAAGCCAGGAGGGACCTGAACAGAGCTCTTAACTATTAGGCTAATGGAAAAATTTTTCTCTTTTCTCCCTGCTCCAACAATCCAAATCTTGGATGGGATTTCCTGGTTCTTATTCCTACCAGGCTCAGTGCAGGCCACACCCGCTTGACTCTAAGTTCTGGGATTAGAAGTGTGCAGCCCCTATATCCAGCTATTTGTGTTTGTGAAAGATATTATTTGAAACATAAGTTTCCAATTTTTACAAAATCTGATTTCCTTCTTACCTTTTCTTTCCCAACTATTTCTCTCTTTGTCTTGGAAACTGAACCTCTCAAGTGCTGAGTGCACACTGTGCCCGAGAGACATGTATTTGGTTTCTTTTGCTCATTACTGCTCCCAGAGCCACCAGCTCTGGACATGCACAGAGATGTTCTGCTCTCTCACATTCTCTGATTCACTCTCAGCTTCATGTTCCTCTGTTCTTTTCCTTAAAAATCTCTATGAATGAAACAATGAAACATTTGGTTTAAATGAATTGCATTCCCTAACAAATCATCAAAAACAATGATTTCAATAATCATTCAATGCCTGCCAGTATAAAGAACTGTCAACACCCAGAACCAGTTCTTCACCTGTAGGCGCTGAAATACTGATCTACATATCCTTCCTGCTTTGAGGACTAGCAGTTATCACAAGCACTTTTGGGCCCACTGGTGGTTTTGTATAAACACTGAAGGTCTGGTTAGTTACAGCACCACTGACTCCCATCTTCTTGCAGTAGCTGATCTCAGCTCTTGAGGACATGCCATCCCTGTGGACGACAATGTGTGCTTTTCTAGGTAGCTAATGGCGCACACTTTTCTCACTTTTGAAAAGAGGCCTCTCCCACATTATGGTAAAGCAAAGTAAAAATTCTAAAAACAGTGTTTTTTTTCAATCTTTTGTATACTTTCTAAATTATATTTCTCCTGAGAACTATGCTTTAAAATCCAAACAATTTCATCCACAACCATGCAGATGCCTTGATCCTCCAGGGAGGCACCCCTCTTGTGTAATTAAAACATTAGGTTGAAAATGTCCCAGTTCCCCAGAGCGTTGTATTAATATGTTAGGGGGCACCTTAGAAATATGTGTGGCTTGGGGCTGTCTCAGCAAAGCACCGGCTCCCTGCCCTTTATTCTCATGTGAAGTGTAGTGAGCTACAGCCTGAAAGAAAACCAGAAAACCCATGCTATCCTTGGAGTGTAATGAGCAGGAATATTCACAGAAACAGGTGTAGTGTAACTGAGTTGTCTCAGCATAAAAAATGATAAAAACTACCTTGGATTTCAACAGGGCGACAGCGGTGGCCCACTCATGTGCTATTTACCGGAATACAGGAGATACTTTGTGATGGGCATCACCAGTTACGGCCATGGCTGTGGCCGGAGACATTTTCCCGGTGTCTACAGTGGCCCGGCCTTCTTCCAGCAGTGGCTCACAGACCATTTCTCACGGGGCAGTACTATGCGATTGTTCCATACAGACGTGGTGCTGGGCCAGATCCTCGTGGCTTTAGGCCCTGTCGTCCTTCTAGGAGTGCTATAAAGACGCTGCAGACTGTCAGTCTGTCTCTGCTGTGTTCTACACAAGGAGATTGTTCTTCCGTGGTTTGTTGTAGTGTTCTCATGTCAGCATTGTTTCTTGAACAATGTCATAGAGGACTGTGACAGATACACAGTTGTGAATTTTGGCACAAAATCACGTGCCTCCTTAGAGCCTGATTGTTTTGTTATTTAATTGTAATTCTGTATTTGGAATACTCTCTTAGAGTTTGTATAAATTATTTAGTTCACTATGTACTATGTATAAATTATTTAGTTCACTATGTATAAATGTCAATAAACAGTTTATAACCCAACTGAAAAATCTCTTGTTAAACTAATCAAAATGCATTTTAAGTTAAATTTTATTTGACTTCCTTTTCAGTTTGGGTGTGGTGGCAGAGAGTTCATGGCAGTCACTTGGCTCTACTATTTCTGGGCGTGGGCTGAGGCAGTGATGATGGGAGAAAGGTTAAGCCAAGTAGCTCACTCATGACAGCCAGAAGCAGATGGGCAAAGGCTATGTAGTCACGAGGTGCAGATATCTTAAAATCATTTCTGTATGTATTTTGAGATGAGGCTTCACTATGTAGCCCAGGCTAGCCTCAAGTTTGAGATTCTCCTGCCTCAGCCTCCTGAGTTCAAGGATTATAGGTGTAAGCCACTGTGTGTAGCTAAGTATTTGTAAAGTGCATAACAATAGAAAGAAAAACTTCTATAGTCCTAAGATGGCTACCACAAAATCCTATTTTTTCATTTAATTTTTTTATGTCAGCTATTCTGAAAGCTTTCCAATTATACAATAGGTATAAAAATAGTACCACAATTATCCATACATACTTTACTTTTATTCCCTCATTCTAACATCATGTTCTTAGACTCTCCTTCTACATGCACATGTGCCCACATGCGCGCGCACACGCGCACACACACACACACACACACACACACACACACACGTCTATTAAATAACTAAGCGCTTCCCAAACTTGGGAAGTAAAATAACTATCCAGTTCATGAAGCCCATAGGTCCCCAAAATGTTGAACCCAAAGGACACCAAGACATATTATAATTTGTCTAAAGTCAAAGAAAAAGTTTCAAGAACTACAAGGGGAAAAACTCTCGGTTTGACTATCAGCATGTTCCTCAGCAGCCACCTTGAAGGGAAGGAAAGAATGGAGCGTTTTAAAAATCTTGAAAAAAGAAAACTAAGCCATAACAGCAACAGAAACACAAGATCCCTAGACCCTGCAAAGCTGAGCTTCAGAACAACAGGGCTGGAGAGCAGGTCAGTGGGAACAGCTTACTCAGCATGTGTGGCCCTAGGAGAGGGGAGAGGGAAGTGGTGGGGGAGAGAACCCAAGAGGAGAAGGAGGAGAGGAGAGGAAAGGTGTGGGGGGGAAGAACCCAAGAGGAGGAAGAGGAGAGGAGAGAGGGAAGGTGGCGGGGTGGGGGAGAACCCAAGAAGAGGAGGAGAGGGTAGAGGGAAGGTGGGGGGAAAGGAGAACCCAAGAGGAGGAGAGGAGAGGGGAGAGGGAAGGTGGGGGGAAAGCAGAAGAGAAAAAAAAACCAAGACAAAATGTAGACCTTTCTGAATGAACACAAGCTGAGTTCATGGCTGTCCTTGCCTTAGAGACATGCTATAAGCAATCAAGCTTAGGAAAGAATGACTATTATACAAATGACATGGATATATAAACTTGCCGGGCTCCAGCCTTGGCTCGGGTTCAGGTCCTGAGGCAGGGAAGGGGCAGCCGTGCAAGGAAAACTCAAGTGACCCCAAATAGCTCAGGGAATCTTTATTTATCTTAAACAGAGTTTTGTTTTGTTTTTTAACCAGGGTAACAAGAACAGTTTTATTATTGGCTTCTATTTTTGATTTTAGGGGATACATTGTAATTTAAGGAATACATCATGATCATTATGAAAAGCCTCATTGTTCCCCTTTATGCTTCCTCAAATACACCTTCCAAGCCTGCATAACCTTATTCTAGACATGGAGTTCAGCATTTTTTCAGGCTTACCTAAATATCGAGCTGGACACGTCCTGCTCCAGCAACACTTTATGTCAGCTGGCAGCTACTTGTGGTTGTGAAGCTAAGAAAGTAATAGACATGGTCACAATGCTTTAAGGAGAGCAATATTCAAACGCAGACATTTCTTTCATGTCTGCAAGTTATGCTTTTATATGGTTCCCTTTTCTACAAGAGGGTCCCATGTCTGCATCTCTCTGTAAAAGGCAGCCTTTGGTAAGACACGCTTTCCCCACCCACACTGCAAGCTCCTGTGCATGGTAAAGATGGGCCTGTCCAGCCCACATTTTTCATTGTAGTGTTTCATCTTGGAGCATATCAGATCCTACCAACAACTCTATGTTGGGTGCCCAGGGAACTTCCTCTCAACAGTTGGCACTGTGTATTCCTGTGTCTGTGTGCCTTGCTCTCCTTTGTGGGACAAGGCCAGCGTTCCCAGTGTTGTTTTCTCACTGCTCCTGACTATCTCCACTGAGTCAGAAAAGTTCCCAGGATTGGGAGTTGTAGTTAGTGATTACAGATAAGAGATTTGAGAAACATTAGCGCCCTGTTGAATCTTATGGGAAAAAAATTGGAGAAAGAACAGAATATCCAGGGAAAATTACAGCTATTGCACATGTGACTGACAACGTAAAACTAAGAACTGTCCAAAGAATCACCAGTACAATGAGAGAGAAAAGAGCCTGTAAGCTGCACGGATTTTGGTCCTTGATAAGAGAGACTCTGATTCCATGGGGGCCCATGGAAGCCCATTGCTGATCCAAGAAATAGGCTGCATGGCTCCCAAAGTAAACCCAACGGAAAAGGTAAGAACATAGACACATTCAGGATCATGTAATTTGACAGCATCACATATGAACCAATTTCAATTGCTGTAAAATCACTGCAGTTGGCCATGGTGGTGCATGTCTATAATCCCAGCACTTGAGAGGCTGAGGCAGGAGGATTGGGAATATAAGACATGTCTGGCTCTATAGCAAAATCTATCTCAGAAATAAGCAAACAACTAGGGCTAATTACCTACAATAATGCATTACAATGTGTTGTGATTGTTGAGACAGGGCCTTATATAGCCCAGGCTGGCCTTGAACTGATCCTCCTGCCTCAGCCTTCCAGCTGCTGGAATCACTGGGCATGAGCCACTACACCAGGCATTTCTTAAAGATATAAATCATCATATTAATGCCCTAACATATGAGTAGAGGCCAGGATTAAAAATATAGTGATTTTTTGTATACAAAGGTGTTAAGTTACAATTTATAGCTATAAAATGATTCATGAGCACACCGTGGGGTTTTTGTTTGTTTGTTTGTTTGGTTGGTTGGTTAATTTTTGAGACAGGGTTTCTCTGTGTAGGTCTGGCTTTACTGAAACTAACACTGTAGACCGGGCTAACCTCAAACTCACAGAGATTTGCCTGCCTCTGCCTCTCGAGTGCTGGGATTAAGGCATGCGCCACCACCACCCAGCTGCACATCATGGTTTTACGAACAAAAGTCTTAGAGCAGAGAGTCACTGAGATGGCTCAGCAGGTAAATGTGCTTGCTACCAAGACTGTGACAACCCACATGGGGAAGGAGACTACAGACTCCCATAGTCGACCTCTGACCTCTACCCACACACCCTGACATTCATGCCCATACTCTATTCATACACACCCCCCAAATAAAATGTAATCTTACAGCCAGATGGTGGCAGGGCATGCCCTTAATCCCTGTACTCGGGAGGCAGAGGCAGGCGGATCTCTGTGAGTCCGAGGCCGGCCTGGTCTACAGAGTGAGTTCCAGGGCAGGCCCCAAAACTACAGAAAAAAAAAACCTATCTTGAAAAACCAACCAACCAAACAAACAAAATGTTCAAGATGCCTAAGTCCATCTTCAGGGTCCTGATGTCAGGTTTGGGTTTAAATACACAGCAAGAGGCATATGTAACTTAGCAGTCTCTATCAAGATGTGGCCCTGCCACCAATGGCCAAGCAGCTGATAGCACTGATTGCAGTCTCTGTGGGAGACAAGATCTTCCTCTGACAGCACCAGAGTTTCAACCTTGTCCTGTCTAACACGAGAAACTGCAACTCCGTGGGGCCCATTGTTTGAACAGCTAGAGACAGAGGCCCACGCCTTTCCAGAGAGTCTCCTGCCAGGGTGAGTTTGTCAAATACTCAGGAAGACAGAAAACAGCCCACAGAAGGGCAGCAGTGGGCTGGAGAGACGGTTACATAGTAAAGAGCACAGACAGCTCTTGCACAGGACCTGAATCATGTTCCCAACACTCCTGCTAGGTGGCTCACAAACACCTGCAGTTCCAACTCCACATGGATCTGATGCCTCTAGCCTCTCAGGCAACTTTACTCATGTGCACACACACACACACACACACACACACACACACACACACACACACTACAATTAAAAATAAATCTTTAACATTATAAAGCAACAATAAGTTCCACCCACCAATAACTAACTGTGGCAGTTTGAATGAAACTGCCCCCATAGGCTCACAGGGAGTGGTGTTATTTCAAAGGATTAGGACATGTGGCCTTGTTAGAGTAGGTGTGACGTTATTGGAGGAAGTGTGTCACTGGGGTGGGCTTTGAGGTTTCAGATGTTTAAGTCAGGCCCATTGGCTCTCTCTCTTCTTGCTGCCTGCTGATCCAAACATAGACTCTAGGCTCCTTCTCCAGCTCCATATCTGCCTACATGCCACCATGCTTCATCCATGATGCCAACAGACTAAACCTCTGAACTGTAAACCCTCCCCAATTAAATACTTTCCTTTATCAGAGTTGCCCTGGTTATGGCATCTCTTCACAGAAATAAAACCCTAACTAAGACACTACCTTAAACATAAATGGAATATATTCTTCACTGTTGAAAGAGGCCACTTGTTGGTTCCCAGCTGCTCAGCAACTCAGACCCAGAATAATCACACAGAAACTTTATTAATTAAAACACTGCTTGGTCTTTTAGCTCTAGCTTCTTATTGGCTAACTCTTACATATTAATCTAACCCATCTCCATTAATTTATGTAACACCACGTGGCAGTGGCTTACTGGGTAAACTTCCAGCATCTGTCTCTGACAGGGCTACATGGCTTCTCCTGACTCTGCCTCCTTTCTCCCAGCATTCAGTTTAGTCTTTCCCACCTACCTAAGTTCTGCCCTATCAACAAGTCCAGGTCAAGGCAGTTTCTTTATTAACCAATGGTATTCACAATACACAGAGAAGAATCCTACATCACCTCCCTTTTTCTGTTTAAATAAAAAGGAA